TTTATTTATTTTTAGCTGGTTTGCTAGAAATTGACCGGATTTATTACTATGTTCATAATTTTGTAAGCGTAGTCTTTGTACTAAGAATTTTGTTTTTTTTATCAGTACTGTGAAATTAATTTTTTTATGGATTAAAATTGCTACTCCCCTTTGTCTAGAATTATAACAAGCTGAGAACACATTAGGAAACTCAGGTGTTTTAAGTTCATTCGAACCTCTAAGAGGAATTAATTAATGCCATTCTTAATGTAGATGCTTCTGGACTGCAGGAACTTTTTCATACTTCTATTAACTCTTTGAACGGTTGATTGCGCCCTCCTTTTTTCCTATGTCTGTGCTTCAGGATCTATTATCTACTGTACTTGGGGCGACTGTGGCTCAGGGGGTTGGGAAGCGTATCTGTAACCGGAAGGTCACCGGTTTGATCCTCGGGCTCTCTGTCCCGGTTGTTGTGTCCTTGGGCAAGACACTTTACCCTACCGCCTACTGGTGTTGGCCAGAGGGGCTGATGGCGCGATATGGCAGCCTCGCTTCTGTCAGTCTCCCCAGGGCAGCTGTGGCTACATCTGTAGCTTGCCTCCACCAGTGTGTGAATGTGAGAGTGAATGAATAGTGGCATTGTAAAGTGCTTTGGGTGCCTTGAAAAGCTCTATATAAATCCTATCCATTGTTGTTATTATTATTACTTCATACAACTCAATCTTAAGGTCTCTTGTTTCAGCTAACCTTGAGAGACCTGAGTGTTACGGTGATTGGTCCAGCTGTAAATGTACATACAGTAAATTGTCTGAAGTATGAATTCATCAATGGCCACCACCATTAAAAAAGTGCAAACAGCTATTATGTTGACCCTTCTAGAACAAAACAGAGAGAAAAGAACCAGCAGGGAAGTCCAAACTTTATTGCGCCTACATGATATGTTGGAAATACAGTGTGATTGTGGCTCATCAGGGGGAAATATAAAAATCCTTGCAAGATATTCCCTTCAGCTTGCTACTCGGTATCCACTATCCACTACAGCAAAGCAATCTGGAGCGAAAATGAAGAGGTTGAAATAGGATTATGAGAAAATATGGGACAACAGCAAGAGCCCATGTTTCACTACCAACCACTGGCTGGCAATTACATTAGTTCAGAGTTCCTATTAATAGTGTCAGTGAAAACAACAACAATAACAAAAGATGAATGCCAGGTAGTTCTTGGTAGTGGGGAGGGAGTTATCATCAGTTACCTTCTGTACAGGAAGTCTCTGAAAGTGTTTGGGATTCATGTGCTCAAGAGTGTGTAATACCTTCCTTTGAAAAAAAAAGTCCACAATTTTTAAAAGTGTGCACCATTATTCCCACCAACTCTCTCTATTATAAAAGCCTGCTTTGCCAACCTGTAATTGTAGGCGTAACTGTCTAAACTAGTTAGCTTTAACAGGTCAATAAAGCATTGAACATATTTCAGTCAGACAAGTGAGATGTTGAATAATTTATTAGCAGCAGAATATAGCTATTAAAGTTTGGGATCTACACTTCCTGCAAATAAATTGGGGAAGTCATATAGGCACAGGAGCCTACAGGTGGATACTAGTTGGAGAGGTCTAAACAGCAGGCAGCAGGCTGCCATTTCCCCTTTTTTCCTTGTCTTCCAATGACACTGGAAACCCTCTGAAAAATAACCAGCTCCCTTTCTTAATGACTTGCTTTGCTATCTGCATGATGGATGGTCACCACTTGCTTCCAGGTGACACGATGTCTGTTCCTGTGTCTCTGCAGCCACAGTTGTGCTGACAGGACTGGAGCCCAACACAACATACGAGGTTCGAGTGGCAGCTGTCAACGGAAAGGGCCAGGGCGACTTCAGCCACACGGAAACCTTCCAGACCTTACCTATCCGTAAGTCCGCTTACTTATTCAAATCTGAATCAGTGACGTATGCATATGTGGTCGGTTACATCCACTGGTCATGGGCATGAGTGGTCAAATTTCCAGCAAGAATTACACCAGAGACTTGTTGATGGCTACAAAAAGCATCTTGTTGAAGTACAACTTGCTAGAAAATTCCCCCCAAAAACAAACGTGTACAGCACACCCAGTTAGTAAGTTATTAAAGATGTATGCTGTACAATCACTCTACCCTGGAAAAAGAACACTTCAAAGAGGTCATTAAAAGTCCAAATATACCATGACATTCATGCCCATGAGGAGTATATGTACATTTCTGACCACAACGCATGGAATGAAATAATATATTATTAATATATAACAGTTTGATAGCAGTTATAGTGGGTTAATTGTTAGCTACTGGCATATATCAGCTGTTAGGATTAGAAAATACAGATGAAATAAAACATCTGTGGAAACTATAGATCATAATAAAGCCATGTGACTGGAATGCAAACATTCTTCAGGAATCTATTCAAGGCAGCAGCACCTTAGTGAAATGAAGCCTATTTGCAATCCTCTGCAGCCTTGCCATGTTTCTATCAGAGACGGCTTCCTGCTCCTGTTTCTCTGATATGAATTCAGATTATTTCGGCTTGGAAATAGATCCTGTCAAATTTGTGTCTTGATGTAAAACTGCTGCATTAAAAATTATGCACTGCAGGGGTTTACGGTAAGCATTTTATTTATTCTAGCAATCTGGCACGGTGGGATTGCAGTAAATCCAGGCAAGGCCACAGGAAAAGTGTTTCCATCCTTAATAATATACAGCAGTGCAGCTTCCGAGAATGAATGTTAGAAAGAAGACCCAATTAGCAAAATACAGTGAATAATAAAAACCTGGAGTCAACATTAATTATAGCCAGGCAATGGGAGTTACCTTGTAATATGAATTTAATTCAGCTTTAAACCTTCTTTCTCCTTGTACTGCATCCTTATCTCATATGTCACGTTGCCACCTGCCCCCCTCCTTGGGAATGCACATTCCAACACACACACACACACACACACACAAAGACATTGTTTTACATCTCCTCATGTCTTCCTCAGGAGAGCCGAGTCCGCCAGCAGTCCACGGGCAGAGGGACATGGGCAGGGCCTACAGGCTGGGGCTGGTCAAGCAGGACGACGGAGGCATGCCTATTGTGGAGTATATAGTCAAGTACAAGACTGTGAGTGATTTATTACAGTTAAACACAGCTGCTGCCTTCAAGTTTCTCATGACAGCCCCACTATATCGAGCCTATATAAGTGGCAAGTCCAGTTTGATACATTAATACCTTCATTAACGTATCCCTGCTCCAGTCACTCCCATCCACATTTAATGCGCAAGGTAAATAAACGCAGGCATATTTAACACAGGTAGAAGGTTCACATTTTGTACTTCCTTGTTTTGTAAAAAAATAAAATAAAAATCTTTCTTAACCTTTTTTTTGAGAAAGGATGACTGAAATGCTGCTGCAATTTTAAACCTTCATTTACTGGCCTCAATTTGTATTTCTGTATCATTAATCAGCTGGAAGCACAAAGTTTAAATTGTAGTAGGCTGCTTTTAAGGGTGTTTTTCATGTCATGTCAATGCATTTGAAAGTTTTAGTGAGTCATTTCACTGCCTTTTTGTCCTCGTTGTGAAATGGTCACATTAAATCAACGGCACTACTCATTTGTCACTCGTTCATTTTTCCATCCTTAGGTCAGCAGTTTACCTCCCAATTGCTACCTTTCCAGGTAGCAAATTACGCATGCTTGTTGCTTTTTTGAGAGAAACCTGAAAGGACACAGTGAAAACTGAAATACAAAGAAAGTACCATTTTATGTCCGCTTAGTGAATTACAGTAGTGCAAAAAGTCTTGAGCCACCTCATTTTGCTAGGAAAATGGGGGAAAAGGGTGAACTGATGTACTGAAATGTGCAAATATATATGGAAATACAGTATATAAGACAAAAACAGCATTTGTACAATTCTAATGAGCTTGGAAGTGAATATTTGGTGTGACCACCTTTACTCTTCAGCACAGTCTGAACTCTCTTAGGCAGCTTTCTTGTCATGTCTTTAAGTAGTCTTCAGGAATAGTTCTCCAGGCTTCTTGAAGGACATTCAAAGCTCTTCTTTGGATGTTTCTGCCTTTTGTTCTGTTCTCTGTCAACATGATCCCACACTGCTTCAATAATCTTGAGGTCTGGGCTCTGGGGAGGCCAATCCATGACTGATAGGATTCCACTGTTTGTTTTTCTATGAATGTTATGAATGTTCTAAGGTTGAAAAGAAAAGCAACTGGACTTCTTTAAGTTTCTTCAAAACTGGATTATAGATGGCAGACAGTTGGTGCTGTAGACCACCCCTCTGTTCAAAGATGGTCGTTCACAGTGAACATAGATGCTTCTTTTACTCCTCTTTGAAACCATCTGTCCTCTCTGTCCAAAATGTGAACATTGGCATCCTCGAAAGAGTGACCTTGTCCTTTAGATTCCTACGTACAGCTGAGTCTTGTCCTGTCGAGGTGGCCCTTCTATGTTGTGCCGTGCATTTATGAAGTGGCTGTTTGGTTTCTTCGATGTACATGTCTGATCATTCCTGGCTGCACTGCACAGCATATACTACGTTGTGTAGTTTGGGATGAACCAGTTTTTGACTGAGTGTGTTGCTGGGTCTCAAGTACACTTGGATGTTGTGCTTGGAGAAGACTCTCCTCAGTTTCTCTGATAAACCTTTTACATAAGGGATGACAGTGTTGTCCTGTTTGTCCTTCTGTTTTTCCCTAGTTGATGTCTGACCTTCTTTCCCGTGCATCTTTGCTGATTTGATGAAAGCCCAGTTGGGATAACCACATGTTTTAAGAGCTTTCTTTATGTGTGTTCCTTTTCTTTCCCTTCTGTCTTAAAGGGAATATTGATTTTCGACATGATTTTCAGATACTGTTCATCTTTTTTTTTAACAACACCATGTTGAGATATGGCAAGTTTTCAGCTAATAGCTCGTTGGGATCACTTTGTTGTTGCAAAATACTATTTCATGCCTGGCTCACACTGTGTAGTCTTTGGCATTTTCACAGATTCATCTAAAGAAATGGGAACAAATAATGTGTTTTTGTGGCAGGCTGCTAGTAACAAACTGACAACTTAGTTATTTTCTTTTTACTACGTTGTCTGTTATGTGTAGACACTAGTTCATCCTTTGAGTTGGGGTCCTTTTTTATGCTTCAGAGTCCAGTAACTTTAATCTGATATGGCATAGAGAACGTGTAGTGATTGGTAACACTGTTTTCTGCTGCTACACTTTTTAAGCAGGTTTCACTTGTTCAATCAATGTATTTTTGTTGTCATTGAGGCCTTTTTCCCCAATTACTAGTCTTTTTTAACAATAAACCCATCACAGTTGGCAGATTTTAGAAACTATTTTCAAAATCAAGAAAAATGAGAGCAACAAATTCAGCAGAAGTCAGTGTTTTCTAATAGTTCCAAGTATGTCTTTTTTTTTGACAGTCATTAGACAGCACACGATACTGGGAATGCCTTTTCCTTCCACTGGAGTGTGTGTGACTCTCTAGTTTGACATGTTGTGACTGAGTTTACTAGATGATGCTTCTTGAGTATCTTTTTTTCAGCCCTTGTTTCACTCACTTGTTCTAAATGGGGGTACACACATGAGCAAGTAGTTGATATTGTGTGTGTGTGTGTGTGTGTGTGTGTGTGTGTGTGTGTGTGTGTGTGTGTGTGTGTGTGTGTGTGTGTTAAAATGCAAAAAGCAGCTTAAACTCACAAGATAAGAGGAGCGACTGAGTTGAGGCCAGGAAGCAGAATAGATGGCACTCGCACAAAAACTCTCCACAGGACTAAGTGGATTTAGGCTGGTCCAAATCTCCTATCTCCCCAGTGCTAATGTGTCCAAGCAGGCATTTCTCTGTCTCATTGAGAAAGCGACAGAGATTTAAAATAATAAAACCATGCTGCTGAAAAGAGGGTCAGGAAGTCTCAATGAGGCTTTTGGAGGCCGAGAAGGATGCCAGTGAAGATGCTTCACACCCCACTAATCTAATGCCCCTGTCTGGCGTCAGGAACACACAAACTGCTTCACTGTGGATGGAACAGAGAGCCTGAAAGCAGACAGCATTTTAGTAAGGATCGTTTTAGGCAGAAGATTCTTATTTTTATCTGCGGGCATTTATAATTGGAGGTATTGACTCTATTCTGCTACCTCACTGACATCAGACATGACATTGCTGACCCTCATGAAGATTCACCCTGAAAATGTGTGTTTTTAAGTCAACATAAAACAGATATTTGCTGATATTTTAAGTATCATCATTTCTTGATTGGAGCCAGACTTTGTTTGTTGTTGTGTTTTACAGTGATAAATCCAAAGTTGAAATTTTAGGAATGTTGTTGTCAAAATGTACAGAGTAGGTCAGGGGAGCGGTACTAGAGTGCGTATCTATACCGATCTGTAGAACACGGTGGAGGCTCTGTCATGTTCAGGATCTGCTCTCTTAGTTTATGAGGCGGCCGTAGGTCAGGCGGTAGAACAGGTTATCTCCTAGTTTGAAAGTTAGTGGTTTGCGCTCTGCTTGCTCCAGCCTCCAGTCTGCATGCCTTGCAGAAAATACTGAACCCTAAGTTGCTCTCCAATGCGTTCATGGTCGAGTGAATGTGTGTGAAAGTTAGATAGAAAGCACTTAGGTATTACAAAAAGTAACTGTGTGAGTGAGTGTTAATTTGTGAATGAGGCATGTTGTATAAAAGCTTTTGAGTGTTTAAGTAGAGTACAAAAGCACTATATAAGAGCTAGTCCATTTATCATTTCTGCCAGTGGTTTGGGAATCTTATTGAAATAGATGGAGTTGCGAATGCAGAAAAGTACAGGGATAGAAGTGGGTTGCAAAGCAGCTTAAATAGCAAGCCCTACAGTAGAAGGGACCCGATCCATTGGTTGATGTGAGTTGGCATGGAGATCAGCTGATCTGCTGGGATTGCTACACTCAGTTTTTGCACAGACTCGTTAGTCAGGATCTTACAATTCAATTGAAATGTTACATATTTTTAAGTCCTGCACCTTGACTTTTGTAAAATCCCATTTTTAATGGTTCTCAAACTCAGGGAGGAAAAAAGTGCCAAGGGGGTGAGACTAATAAGCACATAGTACAGTTAGCATGCTTTCAGCGTCACGCTCTCAGACTGACTCTTCAGTTTCCAGTGCTTTGTTTGCAGTTGGTTTCTTTATGAAGGCTCGGGAAGGAGTAGAGACAAAAGGCTGAGGCCACAAAGAGAACTTGTGTGATACCGATGACAGGCTCAGGATTACTGTTTCTTTATACCTATTCAAACACATCTGTGGGGGCGTTTCACAACCGAGGCTGATTGTAGTAACTCTCAAAACTCCCAGATTAAAAACACAAAGGGTAAATTGCTGTTTATCAAATACAACAACACTTTCTCTGATCGCCTTTGATTCAAAGTGAAACATAGAGCTTTGATTAAAACCAGGTAATAAGGGTGTCTTTTGATACTCTTTATCTTTCTATCCCTCTCTTACCCCCTCCCTCCACCAGGATAAAGAGGAACAGTGGATGACCAAGCTTGTTCCAGGTGCGAAGGACCATGCCTTGCTGCACCCGCTCCAGTGGAACACGAGATATGAAGTGGAAATCACAGCGCGCAACGTGAAAGGCCTGTCGGAGCCCACCTTCTATCAGTTCTTCATGCCACAGAAACCTGACATTACAGGTAAAAGCATGATAGAGGAAAACCTCGGCTTGTAATTTGCCCTTTTTTAACATTTCCACTTTCTCATAGATGCCTTCTTGAGTTGCTCTTAAATGCCTTTTGAAAGTCCCCAAAGAACACTTTTGAACTTGTTGTGTTAAGTGGTGGGTTATTCGTGCCACTAGAAGGAGCGCTGACGATAACAAAAGCAAGAGAGCAAGATGTTCCAGTCAAGATAAAGCGAGCCTGAAAATGCAGCAGGCCTTGTTGCCGCTTCGCTTTCTGGACAAATGATGCTGCTGTCATCTCAGAAATAGTGCCCCGGCCTCTCCGGCAACAGATTTCTCTCTGTATGATTGTCGAATGGGGTTTAAATCCCACAGAGGAGCACTTCACTCCGAAGTTTTTTAGAGGTGCGTTGAAAAGCTGAGAATTTTTCCTCTGTGAAAAGCCAAAACGTCCTTAGTTTGACAGCCTATTGTCTACATTTGGCCAGTTTTTTGAAGGCATAAGAAAAAGAGAGCAAACAAAACAACTAACTGGAGAGTTTGGAGAACAGATATTAAGTGTTAGAGCAATACTCCACAAAGTGAAAGAAGCTGTAAAGGATGAACTAGTCAAACTAGTAATCTCTAACAGGATCATGCTCCCAAAATATATTGTACCCGGATAGCAATTTCCATTATCAGGATCACGTTTTCAAACGATTAACGGAAGAGTGTTTTGTTTTGTTTTTTTACAGGAAGCTTGAGCAGCAGCCTTGACTTCAGTGCATTAGTGCAGTCCCCTTTAAAACTGCTTCAGGGCTTGTGCACACCAGTGCTTAGTCGAGACCACAGGTTTTCAAGCTGAGAGACAAGAAGCACACAGTTGCATGAGGTGAAAGGGACAGGTGGATGTCGGTGTCCCAAAAAGAGAAAGACTATAAATGTGGCCCATTTAGCACCACAGTGAGCAGTTCCAGACTGCAGTCACTGCATGGATTCACAGTGATCGCTGGGACAGCATTGGACAGTATCTTTTCTAGACAAATGCTGTTGAAATAATAATGAAGTCATTTGCTTATAGTATTCCTTTTGAGTCTTTATAGATGAAAATAAGAAAAAGATTTCTTTCACTTTGTTTTCACGATGCTTCGCCTTGGAGTAACCCATCTGCTACTCTCACCTACCTGAGGCTGGTGCTACATATGCTGAAGTCCTGATGGGGAAAAGAGAGTTGTTTTCTGCCTGTGAAACTTGAGCCATGCTGCTAAAAACATGGTAATATGATGGAGCAGTAAAAGTGGATGAAACTTGGATGTGGAAAGCACCTGTGGTTAAATTCGGTTCAACTTAGGTTTGTTTAGAAAGCACCAATTAGGAGCAGAGTTGCCTCAAGGGGCTTTATATTCTAGGGTAAAGACACTAGAATATTAGAAAGGCAGCACAAAACCCACATAGACAATATAGGAAAAAGCCAGAGTTTCATAATTACTAATGATTAAAAGCAGTAATGGTGTATAAACAAATGGAGAGTGAGAAGAAGTGAGTGAAGAAGTGTTCAGTGCAGCATGGGAAGCTCAAAGCAGCCTAGGCTTAATGCAGCATAACTAAGGAGAGGTTCAGGATCATATAATCTAACGCTAACTATAAGCTTTATTAAAAAAGGAAAGTTTTAAGCCTAATCTTAAAAGTAGAGAAGATGTCTGTCTCCCAAATCCATAATGGGAGCTGGTTCCACAGGAGAGAGGCCTGAAAGTTGAAGCCTCCCATTATACTTTTAGAAACTCTAGAAGCCAAGATGAAAAACATATGATCTGTCTTTCTAGTCTCTGTCAGTAGTCTCACTTCAACATTTGGATCAACTGAAAGCTGTTCTGGGAGCTTTCAGAGCCACCTGATAATAATGAATTACAGTAGTCAAATCTAACTTTTTTTTAGGATATAATCTCAGAAAATGAACAACAATAATTCTGCTTAGAAATCATTGGAAAGAAGTCCAGAACATGTCAGTCTCATGTGTTTGGACATTCTATTCAAATGTCCCTGGATAAAATGTAAGCAGGAACTAAGGGAAAATATAACATATTTTATGTTGTTCCAATTACTGGCCAAAAAAAGGACCTAAAATGTAAGGGATGTAAATATTTCCCAACATTATAAACTGAGCGGTGGTTATAAAGCAAATGGCCAAAACAAAATTTCTTGTAATGATGGCATATCAAAAAATAGCATTTGGAGAATAGTCAGAAATCTAACTGTAGATTTTAGCCAATCCTCATGCAAAAATGCCAAGTATTTTCTGCTTTAAGATTTGTCACCGTAAAGAATGTGCCTTATATTATTGTATTTGCCCTTTTGGCATTTAGCCAAACATATCAAGATGCTAATATTGTTCCTTTTTGTTTTTATCAGAATTATATTTTTTGACTGTTCTTATTTATGCTTTCACCTCAAGGTTCTTGTAAATGTATCACCATTCTCCTGTTCAGGTACTCTGACTGTCGGCATCCTTGCTAGGGCTTCATTCTCGTCTGCTCTAATAAACAGCACAAGTATTACAATCACACCACGGTTCGCTTCAAAGAAACCTAGCAGAGCACGAGTGAAAATACCCTCAGGCTGTACTTTTCTTCTCTAAAATATCATTCTTCTCTTCTTGTTTTTTCTCGCTGTTTATCTTATGGTCCTCCTGTGGTGCTGCTTTGCAATTCTGCTGAAATTCATTGAGAATGGAGCGCAGATGGAACGTCTCTAGTCGAGCTCGCTTCTCATTTGAAAGAGCGACACACACACATAAGCCAATATAACATAAGCCAATATACAGACACAGATAACTTCTTCAGCTCTCGGTCTTGGGTATTCTTATGTTGAGACTGCGCTGTTCTGCTGCATAACAGTGTATGTGCTTGTTTCTCTCCTGATAGTTTGACTTGAGCCTTCTCGTTTTTTTGTTCGGGGAGGGCAAAAAAAGCTAGAAAATTCTAAAGATAAAGATGGTTACAGCTACTGCGGCATCTTCTGTGTCCGTCCAGAGCTTATATTATATTTTTACATGTTGTGGAGCCATTTTTGGGAACATTTCAAGTTGATATAAATCAATACAACCATTATAGCCCAAATTTTAATAATATGTCTGCATTAAGTGCATAGTAATTACATACATTTCAAAAAAGTGCACTAAACTAAAAAAAAATAAATAAATCGGTTTTGTCACGGTTTGCCAGGGCAAGCCGTGGGGAATGTTAGAGAAAGGACCCAAACGCTGGACTTAGTGCAATTAACAGTGCATTTATTTACAGTGGGGGTAAATATACACCACACAATAAGTCTCCCGAGTGTTCCCTCAACTCCTGTGTCGTGCCTTCTCCCAAGTGCTGGTATTCCGTGCTCTCTGCTCCTGTGCCTACG